TAGTATGGATAGAGCATCCTTGTGGCATTGTCTTCTTGGACATGTCAACAAGAAGCGCATAGCCCAACTCCAAAAGGATGGAGTGTTGGAGTCATTCGACCTTAGGGAAGATGACACATGCGAATCTTGTTTACTTGGAAAGATGACCAAGTTACCCTTCACTAGCACATGTGAAAGGGGTGAGGGTTTTTTGGACCTCATACATACCGATGTATGTGGACCCTTTAGATCAACCACAAAGGATGGGAACCGCTTCTATGTGACTTTTACCGATGACTATAGTAGATATGGGTATATTTACTTAATCAAGCAAAAGTCAGAAACGTTTGAAAAGTTCAAAGAATTCAAAAATGAAGTGGAGAATCAATTGGGCAGGAAAATCAAGATGCTTCGATCCGATCGAGGAGGAGAGTACCTCAGTCTTGAATTCCACGACTATCTTAAAGAATGCGGAATAGTTTCGCAATTGACGCCACCTAGGATACCGCAGTTGAATGGTGTGGCAAAAAGGCATGATCGAACCTTGTTAGACATGGTTCGTTCTATGATGAGTTGTGCTTCACTATCTATCTCATTCTGCGGGTATGCCTTAGAGACTGCGGCCCATATCCTTAACCGAGTCCGTACGAAGAAGGTTTCCAAAACACCTCACGAGATGTGGACAGGGAAAGCTCCTTCATTAGCACACATCAAGGTTTCGGGTAGCGAGGCTTTCGTAAGATGAGATACTCACGACAAGCTCGAACCTCGTAGTGAGCGATGTATTTTCATCGGCTACCCGCATAAATCCTTTGGGTATCTCTTCTATAGACTGAGTGACAATGTCGTCTTCGTTGCAAGAAGAAGGGTTTTCCGAGAGCAAAAACTCATAAGCCAAGGAGACAGTGGGAGGCAAATCGAGCTTGAAGAGATTCAAGAATCAATTGATGAAGGAACCTCTATCATTGGCAATCATCCCGAGGAGGAAACTCCGGTTGAAGCTATTGACCAGTCCTTACCTCTTAGATGTTCCGAAAGAGTTAGAGTTCAACCCCATTTTTATGGCTTTCATATTACTACCGAAGGGGACACGTATATTAGTGATGGTACACTAATAAATCTAGATGAACCTAATAGCTTTAAGGAAGCCATGGCAGGCCCGAAGTCTGCAAAATGGAAAGAGGCAATGGACAGCGAGATCCAATCCATGTATGACAACCAAGCTTCGAATTTGGTTGATAATGTGCCCGGACGTAAGACCGTTGGGTGCAAATGGATCTTCAAGAAGAAGACTGACGTGGATGGATATGTACACACATAAAAGGCGCGATTGGTTGCGAAGGGCTTTACTCAAACTCCCGGAGTTGACTATGATGAGACCTTCTCACCAGTTGCGAAGATAAAATCTATTAGAGTGATGCTAGCTATTGCCGCATTTCATGATTATGAGATTTGGCAAATATATGTCAAGACCGCTTTCCTTAACGGGAAGTTGGCTGAGGATGTTTACATGGCTCAGCCAGAGGGTTTTGTTGATCCGAAGCATCCCAATAGAGTGTGTAAGCTTGAGAAGTCCATTTATGGACTTAACCAAGCGTCTCGCAGATAGAATCTTTGCTTCGATGAGAAAGTCAAAGAGTTTGGATTTATATGAAGCGAAGATGAATCATGTGTATATATCAAAGCTAGTAGGAGTATAGTTAGCCTCCTCGTTCTGTATGTCGATGACATACTACTCATAGGAAACGATGTCCCAACACTGCAGGAGGTTAAGTCCTGGCTCGGGAAGTGCTTCGCTATGAAGGACCTCGGAGAGGCTTCCTATATTTTGGGAATAAGGATAGTGAAAGAAAGAAGTAAGAGACTAATAGGACTTAGTAACACTTACTTAGATAAAGTACTAAAACGTTTTAGTATGGAAAATTCGATGAAGGGAGAATTACCGATACAAAGTAATGACAAGTTGAGTAAGACTCAAAGTCCTAGTACCGAAGCCGTGATAGCAGAGATGAGCCGAGTACCTTACGCTTCCGCAGTTGGCTCAATCATGTATGCTATGACTTGTACTCGCCCTGATGTAGCCTTTGCTTTGAGCATGGTTAGTAGATATCAAGGGAACCCTAGCAGAGCCCATTAGATTGCAGTGAAGAATATCCTTAAGTACCTTCGGAGGACCAAGGAATGGTTTTTAGTCCTCGGGGGGGGGGGGGGTGATGTCTTGAAGGTGCGAGGGTATAGTGACGCCAGCTTTCAAACCGACAGGGACAACTTTTGTTCGCAGTCGGGTTGGGTCTTTACCCTTAATTGAGGAGTAGTAACTTGGAAAAGTTCCAAACAGGAAACCGTAGCTGATTCAACGTGAGAATCAGAGTACATTGCAGCGAGCGAAGCGTTAAAGGAGGCAATATGGTTGAAGAACTTCATTGGTGATCTTGGAGTTCTACCTGTCATAAAGGAGCCTATGGAAATTTTCTGTGATAATGAAGGAGCAGTTGCCTTGACCAAGGAACCGAGGGATCATGGTAGATCTCGTCATATTGACATAAAATATCATTTAATTAGGCATCGAGTAGAAGAAGGACACCTCGTGGTGAGGAGGATATCATCAAAATATAACCCAGCAGATCCGCTTACGAAGGGACTGAGTAGGGTTAAGCATTTGCAGCATGCTAGGAGTATTGGGCTGAGAGATGACATTAGATTAGATTAGATAATTTTAGAAACTTATAATAGATAAATGTAATTTAACATTTGATGAATAAATAAAGGAGTATTATTTATAAGTAAAGTTACTCTCTTATGTTAAATATTTAACTATTGTTTCACTTTGCATGTTTTGACTTCCAGAATAATTGAGTTTATTTGGAATAATCGAATTATTCAAACAATCCACAATCATTCATATGTTGGAAGTAGGTATGAATGAAGATTGTCATGAATTGGTATGTAGATTGTCTAAATGGTATTGGACATAGCAAAAGTTTGCTGCAACGTTCATGAGTGCTTATGAACTAGTTTTGAGCATTGGAACAAACCCGCACTTGCTGGAATCACCTTATGGAATTTGACGAAAAGGTTGATCGCAAGACGATAATATCATATGGTCTTAAAACCTAGATATATGGTTTGTTATTTGGTTGTACATTGATAATGCAAAACCGCATCAGTAAATTGATGTTATAAAACGCATTGTTGTGTATAATTGATTAATGAATAAGTAAATGCATATAAGTCGAAGTTTATCTGTTACTTTTATCCTGAGAGGGTAAAAGCGATATCTCAGCCGCTTGATGATTTTGATTTGACTTATGTGCCGGGCCCGATCAAAACTAAATTGATGTGTTCGATTAAGTTCTATGTCGAATAAATCTGAGATCGAGAAACCAACTGCTGGACAATTGGTTCCATAGAATTGCCCGCATGATATCTAAACAAAGGACTGTACAATCCTTTATCTAAAGGACAAGATTGATAAGATCAGAGTTTGACAGCATCTTTGAGAGCTACGGTTGCTAATCGGATTATACTTGTATATATAGTTACTAGACTTATCCAAGTGGGAGATTGTTGGAATAGTGTCTAAGGCTGCAACTATATTTGGTAAGTATTTGACCCGATTGAGCATGGTCCTTTTGGGTTACCTTCACCATAGCAACTTGATAGGATGATTTATAATGAGAGAAGAAATATTATTAATATATTATGAGAATAATATATAAGGAATAATAATATTGTTATTTGATTAATATAAGTTATAAATTAATTATGAATTAATTTGGTGACTTAACGAGATTAATTGAATAAAGGGGCATAAACTATCAATTGTATGATAGTTGTATCTTGAGCAGTGATTCCTTGAGGATAAGGGGTGGATGAATTTAGGGTTTGGAAGAGCCTAGAATTCGTCCAAGGCTTATTATAAGGAGATTGGATTGCTTAGGGCCTAAGTTATCCAATTAGGGTTTTAAGGGTGAAACCCTAGGAGGCTCACTAGTATAAATACACCCATAGGGTTAAGAAAATCGGCACCCTTGGTATTAGAGAAACCTTGGCCGACTTTTCTCACCCTCTTCTCTCTCTCTCTCTCTAATCATCCTTTTTCTAGTTGGTGTTTGTAAGCCATTAGAGGAGTGGCATTTGTGACTCTAAGTTCCAAGGACAAGAATATTCAAGCAAGTAATTCAAGGTAATCTTTTAGATCTAATTTATTATGTTATTATACTAGATCTATCAATCAAAGTCTTGGATATATTGCATGTTCAATTTGAGAAACCTAGATCCAAGCATTAGGGTTTGTATGCGCACATAGGAATGTTCTTATGGCCAAAACCCATCATCATTCCCATCGTAGAAGCAAGAACATAAATTGGGATTTAGGGTTTTAAGCTGCAGATATTGCAATGGTGCTATCAATATGGTGTTTTCAAGAAAAATTTGTAACCGTGGAGGACTTAGGAAAAAGATACGGTACAATACTACAACAAAACTTGTTTTTTCTTGGTCTATTGTGTTGACTTAAGGAAATCATTGATTTTACTCCTTTTTTTTGTGTTTACAGAAGTTATGACAACTATTTCACGTTGAAGATACACTACAGTGGTGTTTTCACCAAAGCACCTAGAAGGAAATACGTTGATGGTGTTGTAGCATATGGAGATGATGTTGACACTGATTTATTTTTAGTTCATGAGCTTGACGACATGGTTCGAGAACTAGGGTACAAAACTGAGCAAACCCTTTACTACCATTTCTGTATCCCTGAATACCCTTTGGACTATGGCTTAATTCCTTTAGGTAATGATCAAGATGTACTTAAAATGGTATCATATGTCCCTAAACACAGACTTATTAGGGTGTATATTGAAACTGGTCAGACAAGGGTAGCTACTTATTACAAGTCTCCTTCTAAAGTTGTTATTGAAGAGTTGGAGCCTGATAGTGTGTCACCTTAAATGAATAGAAAGAAACCTTGTAGGAGAGAAGCAGAATCATGTAGTAGAAAGCTTGATCTAAACAAGTCTATGAACCCTGATTATGAGCAGTCACAAGTGTTAGATTTTGATGAAGGCCATGATGATTACTCAAATAGTATTGTACCATTTATAAGGTCACAAGGCAAACAAAGTCGTGTCATTCAAAAGGAAGTGGTGAATCATGAAATTGAAACTCAAGAAGAAGTGATCACTAGTGCAGTTGAAACTAAAGAACCATTGGGAACTTACCATGTACAGGAACCAAGCTGCCAAGCTGATGATGGAGCTAATACTACGACAGTTGATGATTATGAACCATTTATAGAGGATTACTCACTTTATGCTGATTATGATGCTGAATTTAATGTTGAAGCTTCATTTGAAAAACAACCAGAAGTGGATTATCTAGAGGGTATGGTGAGTGATGATAGTGGAGAAGCTTTCTACTTTGAGAGTGGCCATGGTTCTGAGGATAGTGGAGATGATTCTGATGACAGTGAATACAATGTGGATGAGTCTAACATACAATTTGATGTAGATGTAGACATGAGTGAATTCCATAATGCTGTTGATGTCGATGAACATGGAATCTTGAACAATCATTCAAAAGATGAAGGGATTGACATGGTTGATGATGAGTTGGAAGTTATTGCCACTGATGATTATCAATTTGCAGGATTTCATGAAGATGATAGGAAGAGACTGCTAAAAGAGTTGAGTAAGTCAAGTACATGCTCACATGGAGATATTCATGTTAAACCATTTCAGATTGGCCAGGTCTTCAAAACCAAGCTTGATGTTATAAACTACATGAACTCACATGTTGTAGCAACAAGGAGGTCTTTATACCTAGCCAAAAATGACAAAATCCGGATTAGGGTGAAATGTAAAGGTGTTGTAAGTAAGCCTTCTACAGGAGTTGATGGTGGTGGGCCCTCAACTAGAAGTAGGGCAAACTGCAAGGGTAAAGATGTAATTACCAATAAAGGTACATGTCCATGGGCAGTCCAAATATCGAGGGCTAATGAAAATCAGGATTGGTTGGTGAAAACAGTACAGGATGAGCATAAATGTTTGCAAACAAGGACGGTTAAAGCTTGCACTTCCAGATACGTAGCAAACTTAATTGTTCAACAAATACAGAGTAACCCTAAAATTCCAGTGAAAGCTTTACACGAAGAGTTGTGCAAGAAACTAGAGGTAGGAATGTCATTGCAAAAAGTTGCTAGGGCAAATTCAATGGCTGAGTGTATCATTAGTGGGGACTACCAAGTACAATATGGATTTTTGAGGGATTATGTGTTGGAGCTACTCAACACTAATCCTGGTACAACAGTTCGGATTGATGTGTATCCAAAAACCTCCCTGTCTATTACCACAAGAACTTTTAGAAGAATATATGTCTGTTTAGGTGCATTGAAGTTAGGATTCAAATTTGGTTTAAGGGATTTTCTAGGTCTGGATGGTACTTTCATGAAGGGCCCTTACCATGGGCAAGTGTTAACTACTGTAGGGTTGGACTCAAACAATGGCATATACCCTGTAGCATATGCAGTGGTAGAGACAAAATCAACAAGTAGTTGGACCTGGTTTTTGTAACTGTTAGGAGAAGATCTGGATCTGGGGGCCAAATTCCAACATTACCTTCATTTCATATAGACAAAAGGTGTGTATCACCTAACTTTTTTTTATTACCTTTTCTAAATACATTTGGTTAACTGATGTTGCATACATTGACGTTTGTTTAGGGAATAATACCAGTAATGGAGAAGGTATTCCCTAGTGCAGAACACAGGTTCTGTTTGAGGCATATCCAGGAAAACATGAAGAAACGGTGGAAAGGAAAAGACTTAAGTGACCAGCTTTGGGAGTGTGGTAGAGCAACAACAATCAATCATTTTAACAAAGCAATAGATGAGTTGAAGAAGATCAATGCAGAGGCTCATGCTTGGGTGTCTAAGATCCCAACAAACACTTGGGACAAATCTCACTTTAGTGGTAAGTTTCTAGAATTTTATTGAGAAATGTTAATCTTCCTTGTTGTGTTTTTACTATATGTGTAATTGTCTTCTCTTAATATCTATTATTCAGGAAGGGAACATACTGATTGTTTGTTGAATAACCTTTGTGAGGTATTCAACTCTAAGCTAGATGAAGGTAGGGATAAACCTATTAGCACTTGCTTATAGTATATTAGAGACTATCTCATGAAGAGGTTATGTGTGGTGCAAAAGGAAATAGATAAGTGTGAAGGACTTCTAACCCCTAATGCAACTACACTGTTTGAAAAGATTAAGACTGATGCATCAAAATATGTGGCTAAATACAATGGGGTAGGAAAGTACCAAGTGGCAGGCACATGGTAAGACCAATATGTGGTAAACTTGAATGATCAAAGTTGTAGTTGCAGGTTTTGGGAGATTACAGGTTTCCCATGTAGACATGTTGTTTGTGCTATATGGGACAAAATTGAAAATGGTGAAAATGCCCCACATGTTGATGAATGGGTCCATCCTTGCTATAGGTTATCAACATGGAAAGCCATGTATTTCAACAAATTTGATCCATTAATGGACGTACATTGTGGCCTAAAAGTGACTGCCCATTCACTTTACTTCCACCAAAACATAAGACACAGGTTTGTATTTAAAGTACACAAAATATATAGTATACATGTGAACATGGAATGAATTCGATTTTAACTATAGTATATCAATATGTGTAGGTTGGGAGGCCTAAGAAGAAGAGAAGGAGGGGTGTTGATGAGCCAAACAGCCAAGCTGGTAGATTGAGCAGGAAATATTTGGCAGTCACTTGTTCAAAGTGTCATAACAAAGGGCACAATTCCAAAACATGTAAAGGGAAGGGAGGCAGTGGTGAAGTTGGAGGGAGCTGAAAATTATTTTTCGTGGTTATTAGGATGCTGGTGTTGTAGGTATTTAGAAACTTAAGTCATGTGTACTTGTTTGAAGATGTGTTAAGAACTTGAAAACATTGCATGTAATGCTTGTGTTGTAGGTCTTTTGAAAACTTTGCCTCATGGTTGTGTTAAGAACTTCATAACTTTGAATGTAATGGTGTGTATGCACTTTTTGGTAATGAATTAATATGTTTAGTGTACTACCCTTCACAGATCAATTAATAACATTGTACATTTCAATTGCAAATGAAAAGCATTTTCAAGATGCATTTACAATACACTTAACAATCGCATTTCAAAAAATTCAAGAAATTGAACAATGAACTATAACAAACAACATTTCATTACCATTACCATTACCACTGCATTACACATTAATTCGATACATAAAACAAATACAACAATACCAATTCCAAAACCACTTACATAAACTAAAAGCAAAAAAATCCCTATCCGATGAAAATAAAAAAAAACCCTGCAATGGTTACAAACCAATAACCAAAACTCCATTACCATCCAAACCTTCACAGGATACTTAGAGATTAAAATAATACCAAAAAAAAACACCCATGAACAAAACAACATCAGTTGGTAGTTCCACAATTGTGTAGTTACAATGGCGACCCTCTCTTCCAATCGATTCTTTAATCTTATCAAACCTGGAATCACCACCAATGCCCTAGCACACATAGGAGGATCAGACCATCGAATGAAACCACATCTTCTACAGTTCCAAAATTGTCTTCCAGGGTTACGATCCGTCCATGAAGTGATCTTCGTTGCTTCATTCCCACACCTGCAAGTCACCATCTTTGAATCAAAAGCGATTCAATGTCATGAAGGGTGCAACAGTCGGTCGAGCAACAGTGGAAAGGAGGAGATGGGAGATGAGGATTAATAAATCTAAAAGGGAAACCATATAATCGAACATGCAATTTCTTTTAAAGAGAGAAGGTTACAACTGAAATGATGAAATTACGCCTGCAATATTTTATTAAAAAATGAGTTAACGGTGAAATGCTAACGGAGTGAGCCGGAAGGACCATTTGTTAAAAGTTTTGAAACCACAAGGACCATCTGTGAGGTTTTTTGAACTTAGCGACTAAACTTGATATTTTTGGAAACCACAAGGACCATTTTTGAAGTTTTGTCTTATTCTTATAATAAATCAGTCTCTCTCATTAACAATCATCCTGTCTAGTCACTAGTGTGAAGGCAACCCAAAAGGACCATGCTACTATCGGGTCAAGTATATCCCGATTATAGTTATGGGCTTAGACACCTAATCCAACAAAATGGCCACTCTAGCCATTCCCTAATTCGACCAAGGCCAAGATCCAATTCTTGGTCCAAAAAGCCCAAAGTTATTCTAGACCCATAATTGGCCTAATTTTCCACATTGGGCCCAAAATCCTTTTTAGGCCTTATCCTAAGGTCCAACACTTCACTTGACCCAAAACACCCATACTCAAATAGTCCAATAAGGACCCAAGTATTCAAGCCCAAATGGTGGCCCAAAACTTGAAGCCCAAAATCCAAAATCCAATAGATGGTCGTATGCGGGGCGTACTCCTGCGGTACATAGGGCGTACATCGAGCCTTACATTAACCCAAATTAGGGTGGTTGACTGAGTACACGGGACGTACTTCCCCTATGTAGGGCATACCCTCATAGATCCAAAAGTCTCATTATGTGCTTAATAGCTTAAGCACTTAAACCCAAACTATAGATCCGTGGTCCAAAAGCACCCTAGAGTCATAAAGTCTCCAACTTTATGACTTTACACATCTAAAAGTCCTTAATACATGGTATTAATTCATTAAGACCTTCTACAAGAAGCATGGAGCCAAACTAGCTAAACGGATCTCATTTTTATGACTTAAAACCCTTCCTAGGTTCTGAAAGGACAACCCAAAATGTCCAAAACCAAACATGCATAACAATGAGGCTTTTGGGACAAAAAGAACATCATAAAGCTACCAAAATGAGATCCACACAAACCAAGCATAAAGGTAGTAACTTTTTACCTTCTAGAGCTTCCTAAGAAGGTGATGATCCAAGATCCACAAGCTTGCTTCAACTTCTAATCTCCTTGATGCAACTCCTTTTTCCCTTAAGCATACAAAGAACACACTTTTTGCTCAACATACTCTCTTATGAGGTTAGGGTTTCCCAAAAATGACTTAAGGACTTGGAGGATGAAAGGATGAGGCTAAATGATCCATAAGGTGTTTAATTGCCTCTCAAACCCTAAGAATTAAGGTTTCAGACGGACATAAGTACGCCTAGCATACTAGGGTGCACCCTAGTACACTTAGCGTACTCATATGTACGCTCAACATACATCTACTACTCCAATTTTACCATTTTGCCACTAGGGCTTTTTAGGGCTACATCCTTACAATCCAAGGGCCATAATGACATAATCTAAAACCAAAGGAAAGATTTGAAAAATACCTGAAACTGGGATGTTACACACAAGAATAAATAACGAATCGAGAACACATAAATGAATCTTGTCTACTTATCTCACTAGAGAAAAAACTACATTATGCCTTTCATTGTACACTCTACCGTTTTAGGGTATCCGTGAACAATAACATAAAACAAGTAATAGCTACATAATAGGAGAGTTAGTGTAACTCACCTCCTTAAACTTGAAAATTAGCAAGAGTGAGCAAGATGGATCCTTTCTTTTCCGAGAACCTACACAACAATTATAACATTATTTCGCATGTGCTTTGTTGTATTACACAACAATTATAACATTACAGTATTATATTGGATAAGGATAAGGAAGCATACCAATCAATCAGGGCAAAATGCCTATATTGGCTCCTTCATTAACATTCTCTAGGTGAATGAAAAAACGAAGCAACAACTCTGGCTCCATCTCCAACAAGCTTGATACAAAGACTTTTTGGGCAGTAGGTTTGCCAAATCGGAGACTTGATCGGTGGCGGATGACTATATGTACTGGAGTATCGTGAAATCCAAGTAGCATCGGACATCGTAGAGAGGTCGACGATTGGAGAAGTGCTGAAGATTGACATCTTCAATTTGACGCATAGCTACTTCAGTGTGTTATCTTCTTATCTCCTCTATGCGGCTTGTTACGGGAATATAATAACTTTAAGAAAATGACATATACACCCTTGCTTCATTAAGAGTAACACGTTTGTTTTTATTTAAACACACACACACACACACACACACACACACACACACACACACACACATATATATATATATATATATATATATATATATATATATATATAAAAGATATTACAATAATAAAAAAATTGGGCCACAAAAAATTCAAGCCTGAACAACCGACTTTGCCCCTCCCTCAACTCTCCCATATTATCCTCGAAACGACACATCGTTTTAGTAACGAAAAAATTCAAATCTGAACAGCTGCTGACTTTGTTCTTCCCTCGACTCTCCCATATTGTCCTCGAAACCACACATCGTTTTAGTAACGACACCTTAGCAATTGACTAAGTTATATTCTTTTCCAACTCTCAATCTCAACTCCATGCTTTTTTCGTCTGATCTTCTCCCACTCACGCATTGCCTCGGTATCCATTATCGATAAATTTGGTTAATGCATATATGTATGTTAAAGAACCATTTTTTTATTAGTATTACTAATAGAATCGCGAGCCATGACACATGCAACCCCATTAACTCTAATGTCGTATCTAATATATGAGAGGGTTCAGTTAGCCATTTTGTGGTAGTACCGTTCTCTTGACTTACGTTACTACTTCGGCCCTACATGTCATAGTACTTTACAGAATCATGAACCAACATATGCAACCCTAATAACTAAAAGATTCTATATGAGAGGGTCCAACAATTGATGTCCATGGGAACATTCTTCGATGCAACGCAAGTCAGCCATTTTGTAGTAGTATACCCGTTTGTTCTTGAATTACGTTCCTCTAATTAATTTGATCCTATGATCGAGGTCCATGGGACTATGGGCGGGTTGTTAAATTATATTAATCTTGCTATAGTGCTGCTTCGTTGTTTCCTTTATATATATCACTATCGATGTTTTTCAATCTAACTGTGTGACTTTGCATGGTAACCTCCCTTGATTTCTCTCTTCCTTTTTGGTGCAGTTTTTCATTTTCTTTTTCTCTGGAAAAACTTCTCTTCTCTTCGAATTTTTTTCATTTTCTTTTTCTTTCTGTGAAAAACTTCTCTTCTCTTCGAATTTTGCAGTCGTTAGAAAACACTTGATTACACACAATAAACTCACAATTTGGTAGTCAATACAAAACTAGGGAACCAGGTTTTTTTTAGCTTTGTAGTAAGAAGTCCATCTTCAGTTCTCTAAAACAAATTATATATAACCTTTAAATTTGTAAATATTGAACCCAAAAATATGATATAATTCCTCTCATCACTCTCCATAGTCTCCTCCTTAAGACAAAAGAGACATGAAATGCTGAAGATAAAAGATAGGAAAAATAAATGAATACTACACAATCCAAAGAAGTCAAGGGAGAAGAAAATGAAGAAGCAGGCCCGCTATATGACGGGAGACAAGTGAACATGAATCGTAACTACAAAAAACATAGCTTCTTAAACCTTCTTCTTCGTTTTCTTCTTCATCATCTTGTTCTTTCTTTTAGTACTTCTGTTGCATAAATTTATGCTTCTGTCCGTTTACAAGGACAAATTGAAGCAGTAATTAAAAACACAAAAGAGAGAGTAGAGAGAAGGAAATGAAAGATCAGTTGCGCTCTTTTTGAAGCCAATCTGGTCTCCCCAAGGTGAACTCTAAGCATGGGTTTTTGTGATCCATATTTGATCCTAAGCAATTCTTTGGTCTTGAAGGTTCGCAATCCTGCATACATTTAAGTTTTTCTAAGTCGTTGGAGAAATGTATTTCTGATTAGTTCGCAAACATAAGATAGAGATCCTGAAGCTATAAGGGCTACATATTTTTCAACGAAAGAAGTAAGCTAACATACAATGTCAATTGCTACGTATACTTTTGACGTGGTGACATTAGTAGGTGTTTCTTTTAAACAGTTTTCTTTTAAAAAAGACAAGTTTTACCATGCACAGTTTCAAATATAACAAAAGGAGGATTATGACATGCATGTAGCGCACTATTTCCTCCTACTAATGTTTGATCCTTTGGGATCATCATATCGAGTAACTATATGCATATATCCCTATTTAGATATGTTTGGCAATGCTTCTAAATACGAATCTGGTTATGTAATGGGAATTAACTGATTATATATTGAGTATCCCAAATTCGTAATAAATGTACGCCATGATTACCTTAACTTGCGCACTGGCACGCCTTTGTGTTAACAAGGTAGACGAAGGTCTGATGTCATTCATGTCACTGTTTGTCTGCAGCCATCCCTCCCTATTGCTGATTTTTTTTTCATTATAAGATCGAGTTAGAAGTGTGAGCTTATATATATATATATATATATATATATATATATATATATATATATATATATATATATATATATATATATATATATATATATATATATATATATATATATATAAACGAAATTATGGAGAGAAAAAGATGTAGTTCAAATGAATAATATTAACATATACCCATTTTGTTTTAAAGAAGAATGTGAATGGAATTTTGGAAGCGTGAAGAGGATCATCGCAAGAAAATATATGGTTAAATTAATGAATATTGAATTTACAAAATACCATAGGTCAGACTACTGAGTTATAAGAAGGTTTGAATTTATTTAAAAATAAATTATGTACCCATCTCTTGTGATTCGGTAGGTCAAAAATATCCGTTCAAAAAAGGACTTCGAAGAATAGTATTCTCCGGATATATAGTTGCTCTGTGCTAGTATATAAAAGGCCACGTAACATGGTTCTATAGA